ACCAGTCTCCTAGAAAAACCTGAAAGTGAACAACAACAACCATTGAAAACTCGAAATGCAGCTTCACCATCGACAAGTCCTATACGTAATTTATTACATAGGCCATCTTCAATTTTTGGTCGTGAAGGAAATAGTGCAAGAAGCTCAATTAGTGATCCTAACAAAAAACCAGGATTATTCAATAAAGTCGAGAATTTTTTTAAAACCAATAGCCCTAAATACGAATCTGTTGCTGTAGGAAACAGTACCGATGAAGCAGTAACCACTGAAAATAATGAAAATACTGATCAACAACAAACACATCCCACTGTATTGCCGAAAATTAGTGTTTCTTATCAATCTGGTGATTTTCAAGATAATAAAAACCATAACATCAAAAATGAAATAATGAACGAAACAGCTGTTAAAAATAACGTGACGGAAAGCTCAGTCAATATTACAGAATCAACAAATAGTGGCCCAGTCAGTACTCCCATAGACCTTACTAGCAAACCCCAAAACAGTAGTAATGTAACACAGAATAATGAAATGTTAAAAGCAAAAAGCGATTCAAGTGACAAAATTTCAAATCCCATTGTTCTTTCATCAAATTCGAAAATTACTGTTGCGAAACCGCCAGAACTAAAATCTGAAGTTCCTATTAATAATAATACGACCACTGCTCATAACGAAAGCAACACAATTAGTAATGTAGTAAAACCTGACACTCAACCAAGCAAGAAAGAGTCAGACTCAAAGACCAGTTCCTCACATGAAGCAAATGCATCAACAAAAACAGCTGAGTCAATGAAGTCTAATACGGTCAACACTCCCAATATCACTGATACTACTAACTCTACTACTAAAGATATACAAAACAAGAAAACTATGCCAGAAAACATTAGTACACCTGTAAAGGACTCCTCCAACAAGAACAACAACACTAAGAGTTCTGACACTCACTTGTCGACGAATGAACCAGCACCCTCACAAAAAGAGATTAAATCGACGCCAAGTGTGTCAAGTAAATCCACTGATTCGAAGATTGTTGCCGAAACAGAAAATCCTCCGAAAGTCAGTACTACCGACCCTTCAAGTTCAAATATGACCGATCATATTAATAGTTTGGATGTTAAATCAAAGTTTAATAATAAGCATACGATAAATTATAATAAACAAAATCAGGATAATGTAATTTCACCAGAACAACCTGCTAATAATAATATTAATAAATCGGATCATTCAAAGTTATCAAAAATTGCTTTACGTCGAGATACAGTAGTTCTTGAAAATCCTAAAAGCTTATTACCAACAACGACCGATATTAATATTGATAATAGTCAAAAAGAATCCTCTAATGATCAGCTAAAAAATCCAACAAATGAATCAGTAAGTAGATTAATTACTGATATTGAACAATTAAGAAACGAATTGTGTAAGTTTCCTGCTTCAATAAATCATACAAAAGTATCAATAGCTAGTCAAACAAATCAACACATTATGCTCAACTGTTCTACTCAGACTATACCATCAACTGTTGACTGTGATCAGAATCAATTAGAAAATAATACTTTTCAGCTACAATTAGAATCTTTAATATTATATAGTATAAACTATGATATCAATCTTTCGAAGAAGAATAATAGTTCCACAAAAGTTATGCAATATCCTTTACAAATGATAAAAACACCTTATTTAACTCATTCAAAAGTACTTGAATATAGTTCACCATTGAAAGAAACCAATAAATCACTTATGTATAATACTTGTCCACAACAATCTACTAATCATTCATATGAATTCGCTTCATCATTGTTTCATTCGTTACAAAAGGAATATGTAAAAAATTTCAATAAACTTTCATCTTCAAACTTAAATGATCTAAATCTATTTACATTGACACAGTTTATTTTACAACATACGATATATGGAACTATGATTCAAATTCAGAGAATTATAGTAGTAATACTAATCCTATTCGCATAAAACGTAACAGTACTACTAATAATAATCCTAATCAACTTTCTATTATTAAAACACCATTACATTATAAAATTAATATTCGTCAATTTTGTAATAATTTATTATTATGCATAATATGTATTTATATGGATACTGAACAATTATCTCCAAGGCAACATTATACATGTATTATATCATTTATAAAAAAATTAATGAATAATTATCTTCATCATACCAATAATACTAATAATAATGATTATTTTTTTAATGAATTTCATAAATTTTGTAATGAAAAATTATTACATAATCATTTATGGTTTAGTCAAATCATTTATGAAGGTTTAATTCTATTACAACCATTTCATATAGAATGGATTCATTCATGTATTGATTTAATCAATTTATCAAATCATACATTACAAAAGATTAAATTTCGTTTAACTACTAATATCACTATTACATTACCTAATATTAAATTAAATAATGATTCTATATTTGAATTCATACCATCTACAATGATTAATTCATTATGTCGAACAAATGAAATGTATAATTTAATATATTTACGTATATTATATACTAATTTAATATTAACACCAATGAATTTAACATTAATAATCAAAATTTATAATAGTTTTGTAGATGCTATCAATTATTTATTATCATTATCGAATTATACAACAACAACAACAACATCATTATATCGGAATATTACTGAGCCTATTATAGATCTTAGTTATGTAACAAGTCAATTATTACAATTATTTATTCAATTAAAATATCGTATATGGGAAATGATTATACAACCAATTGTAAATAATAATCAAAATACATTATTACTAGATCAATTATTAAATTGTATTAATCCACAAGTATTAAAACGTTTCAATACTATCTGTTCTAATACAAATCATCATAGTAACATTTATTTATTTATATTAATATTTCGAATATTAATGTCAGTACAATTTGAATCAGATTGTTTAATACATGAAACACAACCAATAAATTCACCAATATATGGTTTTAATTATAGTGTTATCATGAGTAGTTTAACAAATTGTTCAATTACTGGACCATCTAAAAGTGATCATATTCTATGTGAAGATAATGAAACTTATCATCATCTTTTATATCATATTTATGAAATGTGTTATGCAGAATGGTTAATGACAGGTTTATGGCCTTATAATAAAGTGAAAATGTTCAATGATCATCATCATCATCATTCACAACAATTATCTGTTCAATATTTATGGTTTCATGCATTAAAACAAAAAGATGAATTAATGACATTATTATTTCATAATAGTTTGATTAATAATTTTAAATCTGGTTTACAACAATTAGTCAAACAAAAATCAATAAATATTAAACTATGGTTACCTGTTAAATTTAATTCAACTGATTTAAACAATGGTACATTTTGGTCTCGTGTTTATTTAGCCGCAATTATGCAATGGTATGATACAAATCCAAAATCAACAAATTGTGGAACTATTATTAGTAAACTATCTCATATATTAAATATTAATTCATGGACGACAAGTAATAAGAGACCGAATTATATGAATATAAATAATTATAATAAAAGTTGTTGTCGTGTATTTTTGCGCAAACTGGAAGAAATTCGATGCAATTGGTCATATTCAAATTATGTCAATTACGACCTCATGTATATCTGGTGCCTGATGTCAGATGATATTCATTGTTGTAGTACAAGTGGGAATGTGTACCAAGGAAGCGATAATAATAATGCCGATCTATATCATCCATCATCTATATTTGAGAATTTAAATATGCTACCGGACAATGTAGTGACACAATTGAAGCTAGCTTATTTTATTGAACCATCTATTCTATTTACTACTATATCACATAAAACAGTATCAGAATACATATTGAAATATCGACAACAGTTAGCGAATACGAAATGTTCATATTCTGAGGTGATTGGTATAACAAAGAAATGGATTGGTTTTTCTCCTAAAGTGCACCTTTATTTTACATTTTTACTGAACACAATTAGCTATGGTTACGGTCTTCATAACGGTTGATTTTTTATCTCCTCATTGTTATCGTTAAAGCGTATGTCTACACGTAAACGGTCATAATCACTGAAAGAAATGTTTTTTGTTTGTATTTGTAGTCTGGTGTTATATAGGAATTTTCAGGTTCAATGCCTGTTTTTTTAAACTTGAGAGATCTAGTAAAGACGGTGTTAATATTTCCATCCTCCCACTGTTTTTATATTACTTACTCTCAACTATTTTTTGAAGCAGTTTTATTAACATTTTTATTTAGTCATTTATCAAATTTTCAGTATAGGGTTGTGAAGATAGTTAAATTCCATTTAAATCATGAATCGATCTAAGACCACCATTGAAAATGTGGAAGCAATAGACGGCCATTTTGTCCTAGTATGGGACACCGCATCAATGCGCATCCACGATCGAGGTTTGACATTAACATCGCTAGGTGTCACGACAGAGGTCTGGAGGTTAAGCGTTCGCGCTCCAGACCGAAGGTTCTGGTTTCGATTGCCCATGGTGGGTACATCGTTTCTATGAGTCCTATACTAGAACGAAACGGCCATGCAGCGCTTGCAGTTTCCATTGGTCGTCTAACTTAGATCTTTTCATGATTTCAATGAAATTTATTGAGTTTGCCCTATTAAAAAACAATTTTGTGACGGGGTTTTTTTTCAAATGCTAATCTCTGTATTGGACTAAATGAATTTTTGTGAGTAAATTTACATTAAACATAATTATAAAATATTACTAACTCCCCCTAAACCTCACTTATTTTTTACTTGTTTCACAAATCACAATTGTTATCATAATTATTTTATAAATTACTAATCACGTGTTTAAGGGTTACCGTAATCACCAACAAATTCATAACCTATTCAAGTTGATTTACTCCTCCCCACCCCGAAAAAAAGTGGGAATTTCCTTTTCAGAATGTGAATAAAAATTGTAATACAGTTTTCTATTGTTATTGTTTTATAAATTTTTTAATACTTTCCCCGCCTTCTCTCTCTCTCTCTCTGTCTACAGAATAATGTTGATCAAAAGCTGGTAGAAAATTTACGTTGTCAAATTGAAAGCTTGAAACAAGAAATAAAAAGGTATTGTTTTCTAATAACAAGAAAAGCAACTAACAAGTTATTTAGTTCGCTCATACCATTTACTTATCGTACTATTTGCTTTTTCGAAACTGATGTGTTCTAAATCTTCGTTTGCGCAAGGGTTTTTTTATTATCCGGTTGGTTGATATTAAGGATTGCAATTATTTATCAATCTCTTTTTTTAATTTACTTTTTTTGTTGAACAGATGGCTTCCTAATCAGAAGCTTTTAAGTAAAATTGAGTCATGTGTAGTAGTGGAATTCAGGACGCATGCACTATTTAAGAATCATTAGTTGAATATATCTTCCTTCTAATGTTAATGTTTATTTGTGATCTTTTTTATTAAAAATGGAAAGATCAAAATATTTACAAACCAGGATGAAACATCCTCTTAGAACAAATTAGTGTTTATTTGAAGTTAGCAGCTCAATAAATAACATGCTGGTTACTAGGTTCGATTTTTTTTGTATGAAGATTAACAATGAGATTCAGGTATATCTAACCGATGAATCCCAATTAAGACGAACTATGGCTTGCTAGATCCCACTGGTAATACCTATCTAAATTTACATAAAACCTTTGTTTTACCACCTAAAATTTAGAGAGGTTATGTTGGGTGTGTTTATTTTTGCCATTGAATTTAAATATGATTAGATTGCTACAGCTCTATAATGCGTATCATATGATTAACATTGTTCATTAAGCTCACATACACAATTGATTCCTACATAGATCATTTACGTAAGTATGGAGAAAGGTCGATAGCTAACGAAAAGTCTAATTAATGACCGTGAGCACTGACTGGCAATAAAACCAAAATTAGTTGATAACATTAAATAATTAATGGAAACTTCCCATCAAATTTAACAGACATACCAAATGAAGTAAATGTTTTATTTTGTATAAGTAACAATTTTCACGTCATTGATGTTATCATCGAAACAATTATGAAATTTGATATTTTTGACCAATCAAGTATCAGTCAAGTGATATGTGTACGTGACGGCGAAGAAATGGCTTGTATTTTTAAGTAATGAGATGTACACCATTGGTGTCATACTTTTCTAAGATATATATATATATATATATATATATATATATATATATATATTCAGTTTAGTCAGTAAACTTTCATCCCACTCTCCGTCTTTCCCTTCGAAGAGCCAGCCTGGCTAGCGTATAGGAAAATTATGTATCAGTATTAAAATTAGACACCATACATTATGACGTCATCATCATAAAATGATAAATAAATAAAAAATTTAGCAGTGTTATGTTTGCATACGAACACTGTAGATTCTGATAAATTTTAACATGAGAAATCAATCTTTTCATGAATTCAATTATGTACCGGTTATCTTTCGGTTACTTAATTTTACTTAGTATAGTATGTTTGAATGGAAATAATGATTCATTATTATTTGAAACGGTTGTTAACAATCAATCATGTTGTTTGTTCTGTATTTTCAGACAATAACAACTAGTAAATCACTAGTCTGGGTTGATTTTTTTTATTAATGAAATAGAGATTATGAGACTTTTATTAAAAAGAAAAAAACAAGGAAATGTAAGAATTGGTAATTTGTTTAGTTAGTATTTACGCTAGTAGTAATTCCGCCTAACTAAAGGATGTATCAAAATAAATCCAATAAATTAAAGTGAAATAACTCATCAACGTTATTAAATTGACTACTTATTGATTATCAACTTACATAGTTTATTTGATAACCAGAATCTACTTTTACTCTAACCACCGGGTGTTATTTTCTGAAAGTTTACAGGAACGAGATATTTAAGGAACTGTTCATACTTTACTAAATTACCTAACCAAACACAGGTACTGTTGTTCTAGTCTTTATTTAAACCATATAATAAATCATTCTACCTAGAATACTCGGAATGTAAGTGAATTATTTCTTTGATTACTCTCACAGGTAGTCTATATCATTTCATTCACATTCTTAGCACTAAATAAGCTATAAATTAAGCCTAGCTAAGATAAACACGTCAAAATATTCTGTTATCTTTCTGTAGATTACAACGTGGTGCATCTACAGCTGAAGAACGAACTGTTAATGGAAATACTGGTGAATGTGAGTTGGATATTGTGGTCTGTTTTTTTCTAATAACCCTGCTTGGTTATTTCTTTCTTGTTGTGAAGTCACCTGAGCTTCATTCTATTGAGATACTTAGTTATTCTGTCGATACTAATAAGTTAAAATATTTTATCGATACATCTGATGAAGGGTTTTGGTAAATATCGTTTTTAGTTGAAGTTAATAATTGATACGGATTTATCTTAACTGGGATACCATTGAAAACCAGATACTACTAGTGTGTATCCACGACCCAGCCGGGGATATAGACCCAAAGTTTGAAACCACCTCAACGAAACGCCGAATCTGAGGACAAACACATATTGGCCAGCTCGTCAGTGACTTACATCAGGACGAGACCTTAGATTTCAGATAAAAAAAATCGTGGTTGTTGAATAGTACACATGTCAGGAGTGAAACAGCCGTCACAAATGGCATCGTATGGTTGTCGCCCCATATCACAAACCGAATAAAGTTGAATATGTGTACCACTGAGTAAAGCCATTATTAATAATAATAACAGCCATTTTAATGGTTAAGCGCTGGCTACAAGGCCTGAATTCTATGAGTTCTTTTTCAGTTACCATATTGTGAGTACACACTGCTAAGAAGCCCTATGCTAGGGTAAAATAGCTATCCAGTACTATCTGGTTTTCAGTGCTAGCTCAGCTGGTATTACTCCGTGACAAGCCTCACCTATGGTTGATAAATATTTAAGATGTTTGGTTCCATTACTATAAAGTATATTGTTATTACTCTAAACGCTGTTTGACAGTTACTTTACTTCCATGCTTTTGTAGTTTACTGTCACATGATTTGCTTCGTAGATACCATACAACTCAATTTAGCTTAAGATGACGGTGAATATTTTCGTTGAGTTACTTCGATATATTTTGACGGACTTGAATTTTTCTTGGTTGTCTTCCTAATCAATTGTTTGTTATGACGACTATCGTTTTTACTATTTCTTCATGGAATTTATCAGTTTAACTTTGTGTTCACACTTTTCTTATATACCATTCTCATCACATTGGTATATATTCTAAGTAGAATAAAATAAGTAAATGAATCAGTAAACACTGGACCAACTAAAATTCTTAAATGTTAAACTTTTGAACTATAGAAATAAATAAAGTCTTTCAATTAATATTACATTGTCTTACAATTGGAAGCTTCTCATATGAAAGATTTGATGTTTCACCTAGTTTTAAACGTAATTCATATTCACTTTACAATAAAGAACATAATTTTTAAGTTTTGTAAGTAATTTTTCAATTATTATCATATTATACATACTTAATAGTTAGTCTTTTAACTATTGCTACAGTTCATAGATATCTGGTGAACGGATTTCTCCACCGTCTTTCATATCATCACTGTCCATCATGTTTAACAACAGAATTCTACTCATCTAACTAACAATCAGATGTTATCGAGTTTCTCGATATTCCGTGTTGTCCGAATTTTTTTTTACAGACTCTCAAAAAATATCAAGTACAAATTCCTTAAAGGTTATTAAAAAATTTAAAGTATTTCTGCTTTACCTTATCCTCTCCCTCATGTTATTGTCTTCATAAGCTTTAATTTCTTGATGTTTTATCTGCTTTTCTTGTACAGTTCATACATCACACAGTTCTCCAAGTCATTTTTATTCAATGGATCCGTATGGAAGTGTGGATAAACAAAATGAAGAAAAATCTTATTCATTACATAATCCATCATACTACAGCACTCAGTTGCAAGAACTACGTCAAACTGGTGACTTAGAGTTAGTTCGCGCACACCTTAGTTTGTCTGAACGACGTCGACGTGAGCTTGAAAGACGTATAACCGAACTAACTGATGAGTTAGCACGTTCTCGTGCAGAAGCCCGTTCCGCGGAAACTAGTCTTTCTGCTGCTCGTCGAACTGAAGCTGCACTAAGAAGACGTCTTCTTGTTGCTATGGATTCTCGAGGTTCACCTAATGGAAATTATGAAATGAATATATCACGAAATTCACATGAATTCTCTTCTAACGAAAGTTCAGAAATGATGAATGCTTTGGAGTTACAAGCAGATGTAAGTATCTTTAGTTTCAACTATTTTTAGAATCTTTAGGAAACACTATCATATACTGTTGTTTAATAATTTATAAATTTTATGTTCAAATTTTTCACAAATCATTTTTTCTCTTCTATAGAAGTCAACTTGGGAAACCAAGGTCAAAAATGATTTCAGTTTTAAAAAAAAACGGTTCTATTTACATTGACTGGACAGTCAAAATCGTAAATGTAAAATTGATCAAAATCATCTTGCTTTAATTTCATTTATAACTAAGTATACTTTGAGTAAGCCAGTTGAACAAAAGTTTCGATGAAGAAAAAATGAGAATTTTCTAGTTGCATTATTTAAAAAGACCTAGGTCAAGGGTTTTCTGTCAACTACCTCCAAGCACCTAACATCCTAACACAGTGAACGGAATGTCAAGTCATTTTGACTAATGGCCTCATCGTGACCTGATCATTATAATCAGATCGGCTCTAAAAGGTTAAAGATATCTGGCACTAGCCACTAAACAATGATCAGTCAGTTTCAAATATTTCAGTTCTCAGGGGAATAATTAGGAAAAATGACAACCTGTTAAGTGCAATATCTTGTTACTATCAATAAACATAATATGTGAGCATAAGCAATTGTCTGTGTATTGACCAATGATCGATTTCAAGGTTAACACCATCTGTATTGTAGCTCAAATCATTTAGTCATGATACTGACTCAGTACTTGAAGAAGAACTAGTGGATAATAGTTTTTTTAAATTTTGGTTAATGTTTCGTACTATATTGTTGCAAACTAGAACAATTGGACTGCATACAAATCTCTTAGTCTATCAAAACTGTCAACTATATTGCGGAAGATGCAGGGTGTTTTTCATAATGATACCTTTTACATTTTTTCTCTAAGCGTTGTATATTTCAAATCAGCCGTTATACCACTTGAGTTTTTAGCATCAGTTAGTATTTTTCAAATCTGTTAATAGTGCTTGCTCAGACAAAAGCAAGTTTTCTAATCACCTTATTTTGAGGATCCAACCGCTTGGTTATTATTATCAGTTTCATACAATCTGCAGGATATGAGAATAAAATAAGTTCCAACCAAATTATATAATTAAATGTTGAATTTATCGTGAGTGTGGGTTCAGTGATAACTCTCATTTAGGTATTAACCTTTTATCTACAAATTTATACTTTTAACGTCTAAACTATCACAGTAATAATTTACTTATAAATGAATTTCAGACATACTGACTAAATAATTATCTGCTTTTAATGCTTAAGTAACAGTTTAATAATATTTGTGAAACTTTATGATATTCACTTCTAGCTAATCAGCTAATAATAACAATAATAATAAATAGATAGATGGTTGTTTTCAGTGTTCTTTTATCATTGTTGTTTAGATTATTAAACTTCAAGCCACTAATGCTTCTCTAACGGAAGCTGCTTTACTTGATCGAACAAGATTGCATGATCAAGCTATGCGTATAGACCAGTTGGAATCAGAGCATAAAGCTTTGCTTGATCGAGTTTCATGTCTTCAGGCAGCTGAAACTGGTGCACAACGTGGTATTGTACGTTTACAAGTGAGTTTTTTTGCTTCACTTTATAAGCATGTGTTTATCATTAGGTTTTGAAGCAACTGAACAATTTTCGTATTACATTCATGTTGATAAAGTTTCATTATAAAATAATATAATTGAGTACAGAATCATACACGATAAGGTGTTGTTGAAAAATAATCTTTCTTGAAATTAAAAGTAGAAAAAGGAGAAAATCACACCGACCGTAAGATAGCTGCAGCATTTTTCATTCATATCCAATAGAACGAAAGAATAATATAAGAGTTGTGCAGTCGATCGTCTCAAATAATGTTACGGATAATGTGGTCGGGTGAAAAATTCGAATTATATATTGATTGGTTCAGTGGCCCTAATTAATGAATATCGAAAGACAGAATAACTGGTCAGTAGAAATATACGTTATTTTGTGTCAAAAAAGGTATACTTACAAAATAGATTTGACATGAAATATAAATGATATAAATAGAAACGAATTTATTTCACAGGTAATTCATTAACCTATGAAATTAAGACCTACCTGTCATAATCTGTCAGTCATCAGAAAAAATGAAACCTGGCTCATAGATGCATCAGTTTAAGTTATACCACTATTGAAACAACATGATGACATTATCAAGATAAATCCTAGAGTAATTGGAGTAGTAATAGTAGTAGAAAAAAAGTAATATGGTCCGGAAGAAGAATGAATTTACTGAATAAAAAAACTATGGATAATTTTTAAACTCAAAATTTGGAAGAAAACGAAACGTGACTGGATCTCTGCTACTGCGACCGATTTTGAGTCATATCATCCATTGGTTACAGTAACTACACTGACCACAACCAGCTGGTCTGCACCTACCAACCTAGGTTAGTATGACACTCATTGACTTCATGGACTGATACCATTTCTTGGTTTGTTCTCTCTTATCTTTCTTCCAACTTACTCCAGCACCAGGAAGCATCGAGTGCCGAAGTAGGCGGTGTTCGGGGATATGTAATACATGCCCCAACCACCTCAGTCAATGAAGATTAGTTACCTCATCAACCGATTAGCCATCTTTACCTTGTCTACTATGTTTAACCCCAACATTTCTCACTGATCCTAACATAGGTCAGCAACGGTTTGAGGACATCTATTATTAAATGTTAGTAACCTACGAATATCTTCTCTCTAAAAAGGACACATTTTTCAGCCTTATAGTAGAACAGGACGAATATATGAATAGTATACACGTCCTTTTGTTGGTAGATAGATATCTTGCCCACTCCTTTTACAACGCTTCTTTGTTATCTTCCATATCTATACACATCTACTACTTGTGCCGGTGAATGGTGGGAACTAAAATATGGTTAGGACTGATAATACCCAATAATATTTAAAGAAATATGTATAACAACAATCTCTGACGTCAGTAATTGATAGTCATATCCATATTAACGACTCTAGGGTTAAGAAAATTAATAATGAAACAGCTCATATGGTGTCCTTCCCAATCACCATCAGTTGCATAGATTTACTTACCTCTAGTTATTGTTCTATAAATGATAGCCCTATTATCCTGTTTTTCTCCAATAACAAAGTTTTGTAGCTAACCATTTTATTTCATAATATATTTTTGTATTAAATCAATGTTCACAAGTTAGACCTTGATGTGTATATTAAACTACCCATATATATATCACAATTTCAATCTCTAAGATGTTCACAAAGATATAGTTTCTATTTCGACGTCTTCGATTAGTATAACTATTGTGAAACTATTCAATTCTAGACAGAAGTTCTCATTAGTTTTTTTTTCAAATACAAGTCCTCTTAAGATATAATGTGAAATAATAACCTGTAAAACTCTGTGTGTACTAATAATGTATCAAAATAATCGGTTTTTCACAGAACTCGTTGAACATGCGCTAAACAATACTTTTATAAATATATTTGAATGACATAACCTTATGTCACGGATTCAACTAGGGGTTCACTCAATGACTGAGAAAAGGTGTTGGATACGCTGAGTGACATGGTTCAGAATCAGTTTTAATAGCCCAGATAAAAACACCTATTTAAACTAAGCCATTCCACTGCCATTGGGTATATGAATATAAATTGTTACTTGTCATATGCTTCATTATACGTTTGAATTAAAAAAGTCCTGTGACTCGTTAAAGAGAGGAGTTACTTCTTTTTTTTTTACAAATTTTAGTTGGTTTATCACTATGTTAACCTGCAGGCTACATGATACGAATTCCCATGATGTTATTAAGTTTATATAAACATAATAAGGTTTACTTCAACTATGCTTTGAATACTCTTATCAGGACTTTAGTGGTCTATTACCAGTCAAAGTGATTGGAAGAAAGGAGAACACTTTCAAGGGATTATTTCAGCAGGTCTCATACTACTCTCCAATTACCATCATTAACAAGCAGTCTAAATGGGAGATCAGTGTGGATTGTCCAACTCTTGGTGAGGTTGAGATAGTTATATCTCATTTGAATCGATGTAAATCAATGGAAATTAATGAGTTAACTGTACAGATTTTTAAGTATAGTGGTTCATCTTGAAAATTTGTGTTCACTGAAATTCATCGACGGAAAGTCAAAATATTGAACTATATACCCAATGGTTGTCTAAATGTTGGCGGTCCGTGATGTAAATTATAAAATTCAGCAATCCATATAAATCTTCTAAACTAATAAGAGAGGCAACTCCAAGTGGTCTAGTGATTAGCCGTGACCTGTAGTCTGGCAGGAGGCAATTAACTTATAATTACATTGGACAGTAGTTATGTAATATCGTAAGTTGAATGAAGTTAAACTTTTTTCGCCAATTCAGGCGTCTAGGGAAAAAAGCTCACATCTATACCAGTCCAGTACTTCCTAACTTTACAGTAGTTGTCTAACTGAGGTTAGTCAATTTCAAAAATAATAAAGTCCAGAACCTCTACAAACCTCCCTCATAGCAAAAATCTTTTGAATGGTCTCTTGTCTGTTTTTATATAACATTAAATAGGCTCTTTATGAAGATATGCTACGTGAATACTCAGAGTCCAAACCATTAGAACTATCTAACGTTCGTGGACGTCATCATCAGAGAAGCAGCTCTCGTAATTCTAGAAATAATGATTTTATTACAGATGCTAATTATAATGATAAATATCGTGCTACATCACGAAATAATGACGTAAGGCAACAGAACAACAGATTTTGGAAGTTCAAGCTATGAATTCTCCACGCAAACGATCTATATATGAGAACTCTGGGGAAATCGTCACTGCATCATCTACAACAGTAAGTTACCGTATTATTACTTTCTATCACATGGATTCATTATTAGATGTATAAACCTTTAATATTTACATCGTTCTTAGTATGAGTTTGAACAAATTAGTGGTTATCTAAATTCAATAACTCAAATGATAAGGCGTGTGCGTTGGAAGGGGGACATTCTAGGCTCGTGTGTTGATGTAAATTTCAACACATGAATCCAAATTCATGCGACTGACAAGTCCAACATAGGGCGAAATGAATACGTTCTTGATTCTACTGTTAACTACAATTCATTTATTTCCTTATAGTTGTTTCACTTATTTACCATATTTGTTCGAAGAGCAGACATTTTTTCCAATATTCTAACAACTTTAAAAACTTTTGTATTTCAGATATCTAAAATTTCCGCATTAATGTCAAGAATTCATTTTCTTATCAACTAAACAAATATACTGTACTGAATGTTTTATTGGATTTAAGTGTTTACTTTGTTTCGGAACCATAATATATCTATTGACTTATACGTCAATGAACTCGGTAAAATTAATATTAATAATCATAAAGGGAATGGTAGATTCGTGCTTTGTTAGACAGATTTTCAATATGCATACAAATCACTTTATTGTTTAACAGTATCAAGCAAAAATAACACTATTCTATTCTATCCTATCTACTACTACTACTACCACTACATCACTTATTAACTAAAGTACATTGATGTATGTTAATGTATAATCATTTCTTAGTTCTAGTCAGTTGAAAAGGAGACAATTCTGCATACGTACATAGACATGAATAATTTATCAAATATATTTATGACCAGAGAAATTATGTAATGTAAAATAATACTGTCTCGATGAAATCGAATACATTTTTTTGTTTGAAAATGATATATTTAAATTGCAAAGATTTTTTTAATTTGCAAGTTGATTTGAAAATTTTCAATTCCATTTAACATACAATTGTAAAAATTGAAATATCTCTTTGAAAATTCAATAGATCAAACCATTGAAATTGTCATTTTTATCATGGTTTAAAATGATTGGTGATTCTTGTTGTGACGGCTGATATCCTAAATCTGATACTGAAGCACGACATACAATGCGCTAACCTCTTCCCTCCTAACTAACTATTTGAGAGAGAACACAGGAATAAGTAAGAAAGTACAATGGGCTACCGGATGAAATTCATCCCTTAAGAAACTAATCCATTTTTTACCTAATGAAATACACTTGTCCTTTAGGTCATTTCCAAACGCCATCCACTGACTTCCTCATCAGGCTACTTCTGATTGGCTTATCATATCACCTTTCTCTCCTGAAGAATAAGTCTTGCTCTTTGGATTTATCCATCACTTCTCCTACACTGAACTTGCACCTCCAGAGTGAATGTATCAATTAAGTAATCTAGTGGCAAGTTTGAGCTAGGGGAATCTTTATCTGAGTTCAGTCGTCTATCGCAAAGATGGTTTACGTGTCACGTCAGGCACTGACATCATTTTTATACACCACGTCACCGACTCTTCTTACGATGACACCTGCTACCCACGCAGGTTCCCACTGTCAAAAGTTTCTTACATACACTGCTAACCCTTAGGAAATTGACGATTAATTCTCTTCGCCTTGGATTTATAATCTCGTCTTCATTGTGAATACATACTATCGAGTGAAGTCGAAATTTCCCTTTCGAACATTGAATCAGCAGGGGAGACATTCTTGGGTGAAACTGAACTCAGGGTTATTCCTGGGGATTTTCTTGGTCGTGCCCACATCTTATGATTATTTGAAAATCAGTAGGAGATTTCTGTCTCCATTTGTGCATCATATGAGGATAGGAATATATTTGGTTGCAAATAAGACTGGATGGCCAAGCATTTTGAATCTGGGTTACAAATAAAATCAAATTGATAATCAAACATTTTTAATTCTCTGACCCAATCAAGACCCAATAGATTGAAGGATTCATAAGTAACATATCATTTGGATTTTATCATTGGATCATTAAATTTGACTGTATATTTGATAATTCCAGAAATTTTAATTGGGATACCTGATGTATTGTTTATGCAATCGTTAGTGGGATGAATGCTTGGTCGATAAAATTCGTGTCAAGTTTTGCGAAGAATCAAAGTAACATCGGATTCAGTGTCCAACTGCAGAGTGATAATACGATCATTAACATTTATGGTTAAGTACTTGCGTGAGCATTTGGGGTTAAATATTGATAATGCGTGAACACAGTTGATCCTTTTTGGCGTTCGATAATGGGATGAGTGTTTGATACATTCGCGAAATCCCTCCTTATGGCCAGTTACTCTATATTTTGAGCATTTATGGTTACTAAATTGACAGAAACGGGAGAAATGCCATGACTCAGAGTTCCAACAACTAGTGGGCGGCCTTATAAAGTGACGCGAATTGGGGTTACATACATTGGACGTTCGATTTGGGAAAGAAACTTTTGGCGAACAATGCTTTACAACATTAATAATGTGATCTGGATGAGAAACTTCCATCAAATAAAATGAATTAGAAATAATGGCACACACACTTCACCTAGTTTTTAAGGATTTGGATTTCCCTGTTGTTCATCTTAAGGATTACGATCGATCAGTATTTACTAACAAATGTATATCATGGATGTATTTTCGGTAGAACTATACTATGCCGACGAGTCAATCAGATTTAAGTTAACATTTTAACATGATTTATGAACTTTTCAAAGGTGATAATTCAGAATCATAGAATTGAATGCGTAAGTATTCATTCATGTGATTATAAAGCATCCTTCTGCCTCAACTTTAATTCACAATCGTAACCTCAGTTGCTAATCCTAACTCCTAAACCTATTTTGAATATCCTAATAGTCATATAAAACGTTTATAGACAATCTGATTTCCTTTGTTTTCTGTAATAAACTATTCACTCCTATCACCTGTATCCCTATTGGCTAATAACTTGATATAATTTTGCAGAGTCACCTTAAGAGTCGCTCAAAGTCATCTATTTTTTTAAAGTCCCCCCCAAGTTGTCACCTGATAGTCGATTTCCTAACTTCAATTAAATCACAGTGACTACGAATGTTAATGTTTTGAACTTTTCAACAAATTCATGAATTCGATGCGTATTATGTACAGTTTGTATTTCAATACATTCATTTTTTTTTAAAAAACTGTAAGGTTTAAAATTATATTATGTTGGTCAGTACGTAGGAAAATGATTAAAATACTTTATATTCTCTTGATGAACAAAATATCTCTCGATATACCTATGGTTTCTATGTTTCTATGGCTTTGATGCAGGTTTATGTAGATTGCATAATGCGTCACTCAAAGTGGTTGTGTTTACTTTAGTCTCTTGAACTTGCACAATTATTACTTCATAATGTAATGGATTTCCTAGCTAGTTTAGTGTCAATAAGATATAATCTTATTATTTCAATGTTATGCTTTCGCCTCAGAGCTAGAGATAGTAGCTAGCTTAAAGAATTACTATATAGATTACGTAATTTTCATCACAATACTTCTTAGATTGTTTCATTACATGTTATTACTCAATTTATTTACAAAATTAGTCAAATTTACGTTGATAAATAAGTCATATGATCCTTTAGTGTGAGACTAATGATCCTTTTTTTGATGTTCAATAAAAGTGTGATATCTAACATTTTCGAATATTTTCCCATTTACTTAGTTGGTCAGTGTACATATAAGAGTGTAATTCTCACTGAGGACTTCATTTTGATCATCTGAAACTATTTAGATATATCTTCTGTGAACATGCTACTGTAGCGCATCCCAACTTACCGGATGAAGAAAGCAGACAAAGTGAAAGTTAGAACATAAATTAAAATCCTCAGTGGTAATTATACTTTTATATGCAACGCACTCAGTAAATGAATGACAAAAATGCTTAATATTGAACTTTTGTTCAACATCATGAAGCAGATGCGCTACAAATTGACGGACGCATATCCTATCCTTTTTTGTCTTTATTTACATTAAGTCCATAACACTGATGATTCATGTTTTACCTATAAGCTTTCTCATTTCATTACGTTTTTTTTATTGAGATAACTTAATGGTTGTTAAAACGAAAATTTAGTTTGAATTTTATCTCATATACAGAAAATTGTTGTTGTTTCTTTGTTTGTCAGCTTTTGTCTGACTGACTTTTTTATTTGATAGGCTAGTTCCTTTAGATCAATAGGAATAATGTAGAAAAGTATCCAGAAAAAATAATTGATTTCCAATTTTTTTGTCTGACTAACTAGTACAGATCGTATTTAACTATTTTCACATTGCTTTTTCGTCTTTATGAATATACGTTGTACCACAAATGAGCATCTAGCTTCTAATTTCATAGGAAACTACTATGCGGTCGTGAATATCAACAACCAGATAATTCAGACCCTTACCAATAATGACGTAGACGTCATACTCATTGAAAAACTAAAAGACTATCTGAACTTAGTGCCTAATTGCATGATGTGTTGGCGTTTGAAACAAAAGGTACTGGATTCAAATCTTAATGTGAAAATCAGTTCTGGCATGTGCGGAGTATATCCAACTGACGAGTCCCCGATGAGATGAAATGAACTGCCAGAATACTACTGCTAGTCACAGTCTATCTATTCTAAGATATTATATTTTCGAATAGTATATTCGTTTAAATCGATGTTATATTGCTAAGTTGGGTTTCATATCGTTCTAGAATAATTTATTTGTTCGGCTTTTTGTGCAGTCAAATAATTATAACCCATAATTGCTGTTCATAAAGACGATTCTCAGTACAGTAGATTGTACAAGTCTTTAAACATTGTCACTGTGATGGTTTATTTTTATCATTTTTGTTAGAAATATTACTACTGTAATTATCACTAATACCAGGTAACTTTCTTCGCAAACAATATCATGTTCACATGACTCTTGTAGATTAACGCTCACATTTTTTATGTATTAAACAAGGTAATACTTCCTTTTTCTTATTTGAACTCGTCCTAGAGAATGCTTATAATTAATTGACTTCGGTGTTAACTGACAATATCTCTTATTCCATAGTTCTTATGAGCAAGGAACAGAATTACAAAACATCTCAATAAAATTACTTTCTCTAGATGTTCTTTTTCGGAATAAATAATTAGTCATCCCACTAGTGACTTGGATCAAGATGTTCGTGAAATTCAAGTGAGAATACTTGACCGGTATGGTTTAGACATGTAACAAGTGAAATAGTTGTCATCAATCATTTCAGATGATCGTCGTGCTAGATAACAAATTGATTAAAGTTGAAAGTGTACTATTTGTCTCTGAACCAATGATTTCAAAGATTAAATGTTCGTCGCAAGACTCGAATGTCCTTGGCTTCATTCATGATTGAGTTGGAAGTTGCCGCTGGTGAGGAGCCTCTTTCTAGAGACGAAACAACTGATCACTGCTCCCTGATTTTTAGTGGTACTTCAACTGAGATCAATCTGTGACAAACACAACCTATAAATAATTTTGTTTTTTAAGCCCAAAACAAATCCACTGAGTGTATTTGAAGCAACGTACAAAACAAAGAAGTGTCAGTAGTTTTGTTGAATGTTTTAGCAAAAAACTATAACAGTGAAACTTTGATAGTTTTCTGTCTAAATTAAGAGTAGTATATTCATAGTATTCTTTTTACTCTTCATATAAACACTTAATCGTAGTTGTGCATGAAAAAAAACTTTCATTTAGTATTCTCTTCTTATATGTGATTTACTAATTTATTCCCTTGTCCTTACCAAACTGTACTCTTGTTAATATTGTTTTTCGTTATATTAGTCCAACTAAGATGTTGATAATAAAGCTAATCACACCAATCTGAAACGAAAAATATCGATTATTTTATTTCATTATTCTAATCAACAACATTTTGTGATTATCACAGCCAATATTTTTATCGTAAGATGATTAACCAATATGGAGAGACTATTTAATAATCTACATTTTAAGATAATGTTTGGTTAATTTATTCGATTATTTATCAACTTGTTACTTTTAAAGTGAATTTCTCATTTACATGGTTCAAAGTTCTTTAATATATATTTTATATACTAAATGGTAAATGACACTTACAATATGCCAACTGTATTATTGATTAACAAATATATCAGTTATTATAAAGTTTCATTCTCAATGAATTGAACAATTCTAAGTATTTTCAATGTGAGACTCCTACAATAGAACGAAACGGCCGTCCAGTGCTTCCAGGTTTTCCATAGTGGTCTAGCTTCAACTAACTCATGATCTTAACCATTGAAATTACTATAATATCCACAAAACCCATCTGATATTAATTTTAAGTATATTTAAAGATTATCATTACATTATAAATAATAAGATAACAACCATTGAAAAATATACAGTACAAAATAGGTTTGTCGCTTTCTCACTTGTCTTTATGTTCATAAAAAAAACTATCCATACAAGATGATTCAATGTAGTTTCATAGCCTAACTCTCTAGAAATAATATGCTCTAGAAGTATGAATAATCTTCATTGAAGTTAGTAAAATACAAGGAGTATAAGCTTCTCTGAAAGATTTCATGGCAGGACAAAAAGAATTTTTTTGAATACTGAATGATTTCAGTTTAAAATTACAATCTACAATCTTAACCATTTTTTTTTGTATTTTATTCAAAGATCCAATGATGCTTGTTAGTGTATGTATACATGTACTTCAGTATAATAACAATATTAGGTCAGCTGATTGAAAACTGTAAACTAACTATAGCATAGTACGATATTTATTTAGTTCTGATAATGTTTTTTTATATGTTAGACATAAACAAAGAATTGGGAAAAATGAGACTTTTAGAACTATTCTATGTTGATTTGCTATCCCTATTTTTATCATGCAATTATTTTTTTTAATATTGTTTTAATTATAAGCTTTCATTTAATTCAATAAAACTACTGAAATACATATTATTTTACTATCCATAAATTACCATTAATTAATCAAGCACCTAGTACTCAGCTTTGTCTCACCTATTATGACCTGGTTATATACAAACTATTTGTGGTGTGTTGTGGTTATCTAATTGTTATATATAATCCTGTGAGTTTTTAAGTAATGTTAATTAAAAGTAAATTGGTTTATTGTCTAGGCATTTTGGTTGACCATCGGGAATGTAAATAGCTGTATAGACTAACAGACGTTTGGATTTCAGTTATTGTTATTGGCTATCTTTTTGTTATTGATCGAATCAAAGGTCACTGTATTAGCTAGCTTAATGCATACTCCTTATCAGTGGACTATATAATTTAAACATTCGATTAATAAGCGAATATAAACTATGTTAAAGTCATAACAATAAGTTAATCATTATTTTATTCATTAATATAACTTCTAAAAAGCTAAATATCCCATTAAATTCTTTTTTTTTATTGTATCTTTTATTTTGTAACTCTTGGTTTATGCCCTCTTTCTTTTTTTTTAATTACAAATATAGATTCCAGTTGGTTCATGCAATTCACCAGTTTGTATTGCTGTACGTAATCTCCTGAAAGCATTTCAAGATCGTTATAGTGATTTAATGGATCAATTTATACAAATTCAACATAATCCAACATTAACAAATGGTCATTTCAATGAAATGAATATTATTAATAATAATACTCATGATAATAACAATAGTATAATTCTAAGAAAATCTTCACAAACTTCAGCATTCATTAAAGAATTATATACTCAACTGAATAATATTTCAAATTTATTAAATGAAAATAATCATCAAATGATTCAAAATTATGAATTAAGTGAACATATTCAATTGTGTATACGATTGATTAATTCATTAGATAATTGGATTAATTCTTGTTTAACACAAAATGATATGGAAATTGCACATCTTCGTTTGTTAATTATGAATTTACAATTACGTAATAATAATTCAACTGGTATAGAACAAAATACAACAATATTTACTTCATCAATAAATAGTCCTGGTAGTAACGATAATAATGAGCAAAATAAACAAACTGTAAGTTAAGATAAATTTTTTTTGTGTGCACAATTTGACATTGAGTCCGTACATATAATAGTTGAATTCTTTTTATAATGTATATGATATCACTAATTGTTCTTAAGTAATCGGTTCATTGAACTCGAACGTAATCTAAAGTTATATTGAAAATCATCTTCATAATCCATTAAATTTAATTAATACTAAAGGACTAGACAAACATGACATTGACCATTAGACAACAATCAATTAGCCATAAATATCTAATTCTCACAGAAGGTCCTGAATACTTCAGTATGAAGCTGGGTGACATAGGTTCAGGTCCCACTGAGAGCATCAGTTCCTTAAAAATTACGAGTAGACTTTACTGAAAAGTGTTGAATAGTACGAAACTTAAATCTGGTTGGATTTCTTGATATTTACGTTTGATTACCTAACAGTACTATCTTTTTTAACGAAAGTAATAATTAATCAACATTCGTGTACTTCTTGAATCCTGTTAAAGTTTATTAAAAAGCAGCATTTTTGAAGAAACGGCTTATATAATGTAAGTGAGTGGAGATAAAGACACTGTTATCAGACTGTTAAACATTTTTGACATTTTGTTTTTTACCCGATCCAATAGTTTACACATTTTTAAAGATTGTTTACAACATGAAGAATTAGCGCTCAATAGATATATATTGTTTTCTAATCTGAGATTCCTCTTCAGTGTATGTTTAGAGCCGGGAACTCTCTATAAGAGCATTTCTTCTAGACTATTTGGTTGGATTCCAGTGGTTAATACTCACGAGGGAACATATTCAAAATGAGTTCTAGTAGTTCTAGTAAGGGGTCGTCGCATTATTGGTATTTAGTTAGGTCAGATGTTAGACACTTACCTATAGCTGGCATAGAATGTCAACGCTAGATAGCTCATTTAAACTAAACAAAACTGTTATCTGTTTTTATTCATTTTTAAACAATCCCTATTATTCTCTGACCGGTAGTATTCTGCCATTAGTAACTACACCATAGTATAAAAATAAAATTTGGTTCCGTTAGACTTTTTTCAACTGATCCATTATGCAAAATATCAGGATTTTTTCTAATAGGCATAGGAAATCAATCTAACTTGAATTGATTGACACCCTTGTTATCTTTATTTAACATTTATCAGTATAACTAACTGAAAAAAAGACGATTTTTGTGTGAACCAATTTCGTATTTTTGTGCTTCCCATAGTATAATAATGTATAACATTGCCAAAAAACTTAATCTGCTTAACAAAAGCTACTTTCACTGAACACAATCCTTACCTTCATCAGGTGAGCCTGCGACATTTTGAGCATTTTTGGATACCAGATGGTCAAAGACATTTTTTTGTTATAGTCTACTAATATCGATGGTGTCACGCGGTCGTTTTGCTAAATTTTTATTTAAAACAAATATTTCTTTTGAACAACAAACAGCGACGCGAATGTTGATCGTCATCAACAATGTCGTGCATGAATTTTTCATTTGTGTAAGCTATACCAAAATCAAATTCCATACACAGCTAGGTTTAGTAAATTGACTAATGGTTTTAATTCAGTTGATAGGTGTATCATATTTTAGCTTATACTTCACTTTAGTCTTATATTAACATTTTCCACTTCTGAAGTGTAGAATTATTTCACAATTGTTCATAGATCAAATTAACATGCTAATCTATTGTAGTGCGACTCTGGATATTAGTCATCTAGTCGGATGTCATACTAGTTGAAGTGATTTCATGTAAATCGGTCTAATTTGTAAGTTGTCACAGAATAATCTCAGTTTGGATACAATCAAGAGTCAAACAGCGATGGACAGTTGCTTCTTTCGAGTGTGGGACTACAACAGTGCACAAAATGTGTTGAATACAAATTACAAGTATGATACCGGGTTATTTTTCACAGATTTGTTGTTCATTCATCAACATCATATTGATTAATGTCATTAATTTTCATATCTGTTTCTTCCTTGTTTTTGTACTTTCTCTACACTTTAACTAGTTTTCATGTTCAATCAGTATAAACAAAAAGCAGGACCCTAGTAAGTTTCTACTTAATGAACAAGAGTTATTTAACTTAAGAGAAAAGTTAAGGCTAACTGAAGCTCAACTACAATTAACGTCTATGATGCAAACCACTTAGGTGAGTCAATTACAAAGTTGGTAAGTTCAATTATACTTGATATTATTCCAAACCTTCTTAGTTTTAATCTTGACGTAGTGCCCTATCGCAAATAAACGTTAGCCTAAGGATGTGAGATGCGATTCGGCTTATCGATTATTTGTCCCCTTATTGCTAGAAATACAGAAATTGGCGGTTTCTGTAAACATATTGCAGATTACTTCACACGAATCCATAAACCGAATAGTTTCCAGTTTCTCTGTGGTACTTTTGTGTTATTTTTCATCTCATTGGTTCTTTATCAGTTTTATACAATTTCGCGAACTCTATGTAGTCGGAACCATCATTATGTGATGAATTTATGAGCAGGCTTGATCTTACATCTGCCACCTTATTCTTATTACTTTTCAACATACTGGATATCGGAAGTTAATTAAAAAATAAGTTCAAAATGTCTGATTTCCTTAATGATTAGCAGTTACCATACTTAGCTTGAAGAACATTAGTCAGATGCTTGTAGTCGGTATAGCGTGAACTCTGTGCTCCCAATTATGTAACGAAAATGCTCCACAGAAATTTCAGTTGTAAATAATTCTGGATTGGATTACGGTTAGTCGAAATTTAAACATATGTTACTATATTTCAAGAGTCAATTAATCCAACACTTTCGCAATCATCACATCAAATACATCAGTTATATTTAGTAAGCATGAAACAAAGATACAGTTTTTGATCATTGTTTATTTTAAACTTCTCGAATACCTCAGTAACCACTTATATATCCTGATTCGTTCTCTTCATAAGTCTGTTGGCGGCTGCGATATTTCTATACATTTGTGTGCAAATGAACAATGGAAATTTATAAGACCGAGTATTCTAAGCTTTCTATTTGAACTGGTTAGCGGATAATCTTTAATCATTGACAATTCTGCTGAAAGAAGTTTCATTCTTTGTATTATATACATTGACACATATCACTTGAAGTTTGAGTTATTGAGCGTTAAAGATCTAAATAAAATAAGAGCTTATGACAAAATCATATATCAGTTTATCATTTACTATGTTTCCTATCCTAAATTTTGTTATAATAAAGTGAATAGAAATACCAATTTAGTATACTAGAGAATCATTTATTATAGTGTGAAAAATTTCAGTAATAATTTTCTACCTTTTCAGGAGTAAAGTGTTTACAACATGAAAAAATGCGTAAACAATAATAATAATAATAATAATAATCAGTTAGCAATAAACGACGTATAACTTGGGACAATAGTTCATCGACTCAAACTTCATATAGCAAGATTTAATTATCAAGACAAATCTCAGAGCAGTAGACTTAGTATCAATATTAGTGGTAGTCGAAAGCATCAACCTTAGTTAATACAAGTAAAGCAAAAAGTATGAGTTTATCGAATGAATGAAGACAAAGAGTGAATCAATCCGAACTATTGTGGAAACTTTCTAGCTACTTCATCCATTATCTATAACTATTGATTATGATAACCACACAGACCCTAACCAGATAGTCTACACCTATGTACACAGCTCAGTCCGATGATAAATGACCATGGAATAATGGTGTGTCTCAATTTGGCTTCTCCTAACTGTCTTGTAATTTACTAGCACATTAGTATACACCTCACATATCGGTTGGCAGTAGATGTAGTATGTCATACATATTTCAACCACCACAATTGGTAAAGATGCACTACCTCATAAACTGACTTACCATCTTTACATAGTACCTTGGTCTTAACGTACACGTGTAATGTTTCGAAGATACATATAATCAAATACTAGTAATCTATAAGTGTCAATAGTGAACTAACTGTTCATGAATAATAAGGCTGATTAAACTAACATAAATATAAACCATGTTTCTTTACATTCTTAAACTTAAATTCCAATTTTCTTCATTCTTTTTTTCAAATAGAATTCGTTGATTCTGGCAGTGTTTTCGAATTAAGAAAAAAGTAACAAGTAATTCATGCTACATCAGCAATACACAGTTATTTCAAACGGTATCGTTTTTATCACCCATTTTTCTTTGTCTTATTTGTTTTCTGAATTTTATCTAATCAGTCGTTTTGTTAAAAAATTCATATATATATATATATATATATTCACATGTGTGTACAATTTTACGTTGTCTTCTTGAAGTTCTCCTATCTTCTTTTTAATGAATGATTTTAAAGTGAACAATAAACTAAAGGGAATGAAATCAAAGCATTTACTATAATATTATTAACTGATGCCGACAATACGATCGACAAAGAGAAAATGCTTCTAGCATAAACAAATGCCATAAATGTTTAATACTTTTTTTTTTCAAAAAATAAAAAAAGAATGTTTCTGTTTTATTCATTTTCTACTGATTATTTATATTTCATCTTCATTGTGAAGAATATTAAACAATCAATAGTCAGTCATCAATGCTTATTGTGTGTGTATGTGTTTACACTTAATGATCATTGGAAATAATTCATTACCACTCTTTGAACTCATTCATTCTGCTTAACATTATCATCATTTTGTTAAGTAAATTGTATAATTTTATGAGGTAGTTTGTTGAAAACAGTTATGTCATTATGAATATTATTGTTTTCATCATTTGTGTTGTTTTTTCCTCATCATATTCATGATTTTCCATAATGATCATAATATTGATAATAACTATTATTAATTCAGTTATTGTTTCTTCTTTTTTTTGATAAAAAGAAAAGAAATGCACACCCCCTTTTTAGAGTCAGTTGTGCTTTTTAATATCATCACAACTTTCCTTCCACCCTCCACCCCCATTCGATTTTCGATAGATACTAATTTTTAAATAAAAAAAAAAGAAGTAATAATAAGTAGACTACTTTCGATTGTAATTCAATTCACAATGATGTTATGTATTACACTTGCTCTCATATACATACACACTAGTTTGAATATACAAATGGGTATATATATATATATTGCTTTCTGAATGTTGTATTCATATGTTCTCGTACAATTGTTGTAATGTAACATTCTTTTTCGTTGCTTTAGTTGATCTTACTTCTTAAGCATTATGATATATGTGAAGTATGTTTAGTATTGTTGATTTTTTTTCTTCTATTTTTTTTTCTTTCTTGCAAACCGACAGTTTGTTCATTTCCCGAAAATTTCTGTGTACAAGACATTTTCGAAGTTTTTTTTTAAAGTAATTTTCTATATCTATATATATATAAACCTTTTGTTTACTCATGTTTAGCTTGAATTGTTTTATTTGTTTTCCTTTTCTCATGGAGTACAGTTTGTTATAAGGCATGATTCATTTCAACATTATGGATTCATTATTGTCATAATTCATGTAGGTAACTATGTGTATACATGAGTATACTTGTTTTTACTCTGTTTTCTTCTATAAATTAGACTTATTATATATGTTCCCTTTCTGAAACGTAATAATAATAATAATAATAATAATAATAATAATTCATATTATTTTAATCATAAGGTAGTACTATTCTTGAATGTTAACTTATCATAAGTGTCAGTTATTTATTCATTCTGTTTCATATTAATTAATTGGGAAAATGTAATTTGTTTTCTATACTTTTCGTGTTGCTAAGTGATTTCGTCTCTTTCTTCTCTTTTACCTTCCTTCTATTCTACATTAATAAAAATAGTTTTTTTTTTTGGTTAATTTTTCTGCTTAAAGTTTTATTTGTTAAATTTATTTTGCTTTCGACTTTTTGTGAAGAAAAATAGTCGTCTGCTACCTTTTTGTTTTGTTTTTTTAAAGCTGTACTTCTTCATTCGTGTATTAATCATAATTTTAATAATAAACTAGTCACACGTCTATTTACATTTTATGTCAATCTTATTTACATTTGTATGATATATGTTGACAGTGACATGCTATGAACTCTAAGATGTGTTTAATCTTGTCCCAATAATGATTTACCAATTGAATGTACTTGGATTACAATATTCATATCCCTTATGAGACACGAACATTATTTCTATTACATCAAAGTCTAAGATATCATACGACTATACCTAGTCAGTCAGTAACAACGTAGAACTTCGTACGTACGTACGTACATTAGTTCGAGTTGCCACATCACATTAGCACAGAGATGCAGTTGTCGATTCAAATCCCGTAGTGGTAGAGGTAGTAAGAGTATAAGAAGTAATCGGAAAGATTAGGGCTTGTAGATGTTATTCAAGGAGTATAATCCAGTGAAATAAATTTGGAGAGAGGAAAAAAGGGACATGAAGAATTCAGAAGATTAGAATTTGGGAGAACACAAAGAGTGTATGCACCTGCGCCATTGCAAACGATTTTGAGCCATGTCATTCAGGGTCTCTAACCATCGGTTGCTATCATCTCGCGGTCCCCAACCAGGTAGTCTACACCTACCAACATGACTCAGTTCACTTGTCAGTGACTTCATGGACTTGTGCCATGTTTTGGTTTGGCCGCCCCTAGCTCTCTTCCAACCTACTCCTATACCACTGAACATCGCACGTCGAGGCAGTCGGTCGTTGGGCATACGTAACACGTGTCCCAGTCATCTCAACTGACGAAGTTTCACCACTTCATCAATAGATTTGCCATCCTTACGTATTACCCGTTTCCTAACAACTGCGTTACTTACTCGAGGGTCCCAGGATATACGAGCAATATTTCGAAGACACCTATGATCAAATACTAATAACCTACGAATATCCTCTACTCTTACCGGCCATGTTTCACTGCCATAAAGTAGGACGGAACGAACTGCTGCGCAGTAAACACGTCCTTTGGTTGATAGACAGATATCTCGCCTACTCCATAAATGACGCAAGTTGGCAAAAGCTAGTCGAGCCTTCTGTATTCGTGCTGAGATTTCGTCACACACCAGACCACAAGGGCTGATGAGACTTCCAAGATAAGTGAAGTGGTCGACACGCTGAACTACTTCACTCCCTATGATTAGTTCGGGTGTCGATGCAACCCAATTCTGAAGCAACATCCCTCTCTTATCTTCACGACTAGACCTATGACGCTTCTGGTGCCCAAAAAGGGAGTTTGCATTACGTTACCATTCAGAGGTGATACAAATAGTTTCATGTTGAAACGGAGACTTAAATTAGCTATCAACCGAACATTTTATGCAGCCCACCTTGTCATTATCAAAAGGACAAGGTCCATGTTTCACCAAAAGCCCAAACATCAAGAAAGCGACTGTGTCACATCCAATTGCGTTTATCAATTTACATGTATGTGCGGAAACACGTACGTGGGGAGGAGCAATCGTCATTTACAATTAAGGGTGATTGACATACCAAAATAGTCGCGGAAACACATGGATTCCAATGGTCAAATAAAATCACAGGATAGACAAACATCACCCTCCATTGCGAAACATTTGATTGAGACTGGTCATAAGGTTGACATCAAGTCAGCGTTTTTAATGTTGTACAAAAGCCTTCAGGGACGTACGCTAAGGTTTATTGAAGCCTTGGCTATACGGAAATTGAAACCCCCTTTATGTGTTCAAAAACAATTTGTCCTTACACTTAACCTACTCTGGTAATACTGATTTATTATCCAGAGTGGTAATCACATTTGTTTTTGTGTACTTTGATATTGAAATATGATTGTTAATTGACGGAGAGTTGAAACCTTTCCAGTTAGTTAATTATATTATACTCTTTGAACTGGTGTGAGATATCGTGTTATAGTAACCAAGTATATAATGTTCTGACTCAAGAAGTGAAGGATATTGTGAGTGAGTTTCAATAGAAGCATCAACATTAAAATCCAAGTATATCAAGGTTGTGAGTTTCAAAAAGAACGTGAATCAAATTACTGGTGCAACTCGTACGAAGTGTGAAGTTTCCAGGCCTCCCAACTATATAACTTCCTGCGAGCAAATTAGGGGTTGATATAAATTATTCCTGAAGTAACGTATTCCGTTTCTTTGTAGAGATACACATTTCAATCATTCTCACATTGTTGATTAGTGGCTGTTGAAAGCCTCTGCACCTTTTTCAGCATTCTCATTGATGTCATCTGTATACATTAAGACACTAAGTGAATCTTCAGAAAAGAGATCAGTCTCTCGATCTTCGTGTAAAACTTTTATTTCTAGGAGTACATCAATAACAAAATGAAATGAAAGAGGAGATAGTGAATAGCCCTGACAATTACCACTTCGGGTTTCCACGTATGATGTCGTTTCTTTATAAGCTTTGACTTGATTGCTAATATTCGAGTAAAGAGATTCTAATAATTTTACGTGCCGTTTAACTATATTCTTTAATCACTACTACTATCACAAGTCCTCTCAATCAGCTCAGTTAAGTCCATCCTTCAGGTTACAAATATGAACACAGTGCGGTTCGTTATTCATACTTATGTTCTAAACCTGTCAGTAGATAAAAATTTGATCATTACACCCACTATTATGTCTGAAACTGACTTGATTTACTCATGTTCGTTACTTATGAGCTTCATTTAACCATCGGTTGATTTTGGATAGCGGTTATATAAATATTATGTTAATCAAAACGATTCCTCTGTGGTTATCATGAGAGAATTCGCGTCTTTTATTAGGAACTCAGACAACTGTTTATCAAGACCAGTTGGACAAGATTATGCCAATTGCAGTACTCAAGTTGTTATTTCACTGAGTTCAACTTCTTGAACTGGATAGCTGTTCTCAAACACATCTGTATTTAATTCACCAGGTTATTCTGATCTCCCTCAATCCGACTTACCTATGACTATTTCAATCTCGCTAAGATTTAAAGGACTCATATTGATTACTCATTAATGTTATTTGAGAATATTAGTAATTGGAGACTAACTTAAGTGCTCTTCTCAAAGTATTCTAGTAATCTTTTCAATCTTCCGGACTGAGAGTGGATCATGACCCCATCTCTACCGAAATAGTATTAATCAGCAGCTAACTTCCAATAATTTTTTCCATGATACATTTGAACAGTTATCTAGTTTC